CCCATTTTCTCCTATGGACCAGACAATGTTATTGTGCTTCGTGTTTCCATTGCCCTATTTATGTTGTTCACTCTGACACTGACATTTCCTGAAGCCTCTGATGATAAGCTTTTATGCTATAGAAATAAATCTTGTATATCAAAGAAGGTACTGAACAGGAGAAATCTTTCTGGTGCTGTCTCCCAGGTTCTCTTCCAGAATTTGGCCTAGCACTTTACTTCTTAGCCGTAGGAGATGCTGAAATATTCCTGCACCTCTGTGGAAAGTAGACTCCCTCCTAAGCCTGTGATCCTGCAAGAAGTGAGAACCCTATAGCCAAAGTGGAAGTTGAGTCTTTGTAAGATAAAATTTTCTGCTCACCTTTTCACAAAGTGTTGCCCCTCAGAGTAAAATAGCCTAACCTCAACTCCTAGGCCAGAGAGCTGGAAGAAGCTGTCAGAGAAAAATATCATCTGCCTTAAAGATGTGTGTTACCATCCCAAGAGTCCTGTCAAAACTCACACTACACCACCTTTTATGTAAGGGCAAACCCCTATATGCCATGGCAACTCAGAACAGACACAAACAAGAATAAACTAACATAAGGTTGCAGCATGCTGGACTGTGAAAGACTAGTTACTAGTTACAAGCTTGTTTATACTGAAAGTCTTATAAGCTCTAGGTTCCTGTTTCCATGGTGATTTTACACACAGTACAGACCTTTCTTCTTTCATACGGTTTAAACAGCAAGGCATAGATTAACAAAGGAGAGCCATTTTAATAATCTCAAGTTCATTAGAGAGGACTTAGACTTTAGCATATTTTTTATGCAAACTTCTTGTTTTGGAATGTACATTACAGAAAAGATAAAATAATTCACTTTGTATTTCATCTTTTACTATGAGCTTAATGAGGTGGATAATATATTATACCATATTTTCATAGCCCTACAGCATTATTGTTCGTCACCCACTAATGTTTTTCTTAGATGCAACCTTCTACTTTTTCTAATTCTCTTTTTTTTTAAAATATTTAGAACACTCAGATGAAATATAACAGGCAAGAAGGTCCATGATTCCATTAATTTCCTAGTCTGAGACACAGATGGAGCTTTCATTCTACCTTGAAGCTTGTTCAATTTCTATATTTTTAGACATATATTTTCTTGGAAGATGCTAATTTGATGTTTCAAAGTTCCCCATAGTGTATTTCTGGTGTCCCAGAAAACATGTTTGTGATTTTTTTAAAAATGTAACACATGTCCTTCAGTAGATTAAAGAATTAGCATTTACATGTTGTTTGCCATTTCAACTTATAAAAATGTCTCTTGATTTCTTGTTCTGATCATGCTAAATTGTAATATGCAAGGTATTTAATTATAGGTTACAGCATTGGTCATGGAATAGTTAAACCCGCACTCTATGCTTCTGTGCTTTCTCTGGTGAATTTGACTAGCATCTTCTTCCATTCCACATAGCAGGTATTTTTAAAAGACATTCTTCTTAAAGTAATATTGCATAAATAATAAACAATTAATAAATGTGAACCTTACCATACTACAACAAAGAATACTTTATCTATTAATTAGGAGATGAGTCTTCTGTTTATCTGAAGCATGGTTGCTGTGTATACCCACATTTATACATATACATATACACACACACATATATATATAAAATTTGGGAATTATAAGTTTTCAAAGAAACAAAACAAATAATAGTAAAACTATTTTGAAAACCATTTAACATTGTTTTAATGATTCAAAGATTTCAGGATCTTTTTGTCTCTGTAGATATTTGTTATCATTGGGCCCTCTTATAGAAATAGAAAAATAACTAAAGATGTTATTTATGGGATAGAAGTTGGTTGCTCTATCATTCATATTAAATAAATCTCTCATATATATGCCATGAAGTACTACTCAGCTTTAAGAAACAATGGGGATATAGCACCTCTTGTATTTTCCTGGATAGAGCTGGAACCCATTCTACTAAGTGAAGTATCTCAAGAATGGAAAAACAAGCACCACATGTACTCACCAGCAAATTGGTATTAATGGATCAACACCTAAGTTGACATATAGGAATAACATTTATCGTGTGTCAGGTGGGTGGGAGGGGGGAGGAGGGGATGGGTATATACATACACAATGAGTGAGCTGTGCACCATCTAAGGGATGGTCACGCTTGAAGCTCTGACTTGAGGGGGGAGGGGGAGCATGGGCAATATACATAACCTTAACATTTGTACCTCCATAATATGCTGAAAAAAAAAATCTCTCATCAACTCTAACTTTTATATTTACTTAAAGACAGGGCAGAAAACCTAAGCTCTGTCTTCTAAACCCTGTTATGTAGATCTTGAAATTAGAATCTGGGTGCATGGGAATTTAGTATTTTAGTGTTCTAGTTGCCATCTCAGTGTCCTTTCCTATATTCCATTTTCTAGGGCATTGCTTTTAAAAATATAAGAAACAGAATCAGGTAATAACAGTGAGAAAGTACACATTTATACTGTGTCACTTTGGAGATAACTATTATTTTTTAAAATACTAATTTTTTTAAGTTTTATTATCAGGGTGACCAGTATAGAATCATGTATCTTTTGACATGTGCTTTCTTTGTCTGAGGTTATTCATTGTAAGTAGCTTCTCATAAAGAAGAGTTTAAGTGAGCCCAATTGTTTGTCACATGGTTTGTGAGAAAATGTTCCATTGGGTGAAAAGACACTATTGCTGAGCTACAGTTTTTTAGGGTATATCTTTCTCTTTTCTTTTTGTTTGTTTTTTTTTGTTGTTGTTGTTTTGTTTTATTTTGTTTTAAAGGAGTGGGCAGCATACATAGAACACTAATAGTTTTTGGTTTTCAGGGTGAAAATTTTTGTATCCTGGCTCTGCATGCCACCTGGTGTTTCCAAGCCAGAAGCTTTCATGTATTGATGTCCCAGGTTTTATCTCGTATTAAAACTAAAGGAATATCTGAACATCTTTTTTCTTTTAAGACCATCTCATTTTAAGATGGTCTCATTTTTCCATGTATGTGAAGCCTTAAGGCCGCCACTGTGGTGCTTCTGCTCTCTATAGTTTGTTGCTAGTTCACGTGTGCTTTCCCAGTGTTCATTCCCTAGGGAACAAAGGGGGACTGTTGTGTGGCTGTAGGTTCAAACCAGCTCTTATGCAGCCATTCCCAACCATTCCAATTTTCTATAACTCTTCTAGCCTAGCACACTCTATGTATTTTACTTAGTCCTTAAAAAAAAATCCCTCAAGAGTTGCTGTGTATGAATGTTTGGAACTCTGGAAACTTGTAATAGATTTACAAATGAAGCAGATCACCTTCCAGTGTTATCCTGACAGTGAGACTCAAATCATGTTTCATCGTGTACCAGGGAAACCACATACAATCTGTAATCTTTATTGAAATTCCAAACTTACGAAATCAGAACTGTCACAGAACTCTACCACCTAGAAGTATGCTGTCAAATGATATATCAGGAGACAGGTCGTTAAAAACCTATTCTAAGAATGTCAGCAAATCTTTCTAGAGGCTAGGAAACAAAACCTTGGATTGAATTTGACAAGTTAAAAGTTTAGAATGCAGTGGGATTTCCCAGTTTTCTCTTAAACCTTGTATTCACCTTCTAAACCTGCTTTATCATCAATGCCTAAAAATGTTACTTTGCTTCACAGAGCCTAACTTTATTGATCACCGTACAGTAAAGCCACAGCACAATGTCAGGCATGAATCAGCACTCAATAAAGGGAAGCTGCTATTGTTACTGGGAATTACGGATATAACAATATCCAAACCAGGCAAAAGTCCCTACTCTCACTGAGCTTATGTGCTAATGGAGAGAGATGGTGATAAATGCTATAGGGAAAGGAAAGGCTGGCTTCCTGCGGGAAATGGATGCTGTTTAGATAGTACTTCTTTTAGGAAATTTGTCTTAAGCTGCTTTTACACACACACACACACACACACACACACACACTGCCTTTTCTCATAGCTGCATTTTTAGGGCCTGGCATATAATAGGGCCTCTAGGAAGGGAGAGTAACAAGGAAACCCTAAGGATTGTATATAGAACTTGGAATGTAATAAGGACTTAATTAAAATCTTTGATGTGAGAGTGAAGCGGCGTTTCTGAAAGAAAGCAACATAAGGGTTAGAGTTGAGGAAAGAACGCCTTGTTTTGAAGATAATCAGAACTTAGGAAAAAATAAAGAGACTAGAGGAAAAGGGACATACTTGAATAAAATTGAGAAAAGGCAGCTTGATCTATACCACTTACATTTACAGCATGAAAAACAAATTTGAATGGGAAAAGAGATAAATTGGGGTTTTTTTTCCCAAGTTCAAGATGGCAAATGGTACAGCTGAAAATAAAACAAGATAATGGAGAGACTGGTGTGGCTAGAGAAAACAGTGGGCCTATTAGACTTGTCTATATTCATTTGGGAAAGACGAGAGGAGTATAACAAGTAGATGGGTAAGAACTAGGTTTCCGTTGTTTATAACTCTGAAAATTCTGTACTGAGTTCCTTTGACTGTAGATGACATGAAATATAACGTAAAAGGCTGGCCCTACCTTGAGAGGTTCCATCGCCAAGCTCAAATGAAAACTATATAAGTTTTCATTTTTAATAGTTTGGGATACAGAGGACCCTTTTTAAAATAAGTACTTGGCCACCATTCTCACTCAGTCTCTGAATCCTCTTAGAGGAAGGCGTCTGAGAGGGGAGTTTTCCAGGGGGGAAACAAGATCAATTTTCACATTTTGATTTAATGTTGAGGCTTGTAATCACAACATTATGAAATTTAGCAAAGTATATTAATGAACCATGAGTATGTAGAACACATTTACATAGATAAGAGTCAAAATAACTGTGCTATTTAAGGTGAAAAAATAGCCTATGTTAACGTAGATTATAAGATGCTATTAACAAATATCTGGATTTTTTTTAGCAAGTTTTTATGTAATATTATCATTAGGTATAGCTAATTAAACTTATCTTCTTACAGATGTGCCAAATACTGGTGTAAGCAAACCTAGAGTTTCTGACGCTGTCCATCCCAACAACTATCTCATCCGGACAGAGCCAGAACAAGGGACCCTCTATTCACCAGAACAGACATCTCTACATGAAAGTGAGGGTCTGTTGTATTATCTTCTAAGTATTACATTTGCTTTTACTATTTTCTTCTTGAAACTAAGCATCAGAAGTATACAATAAATATATTTCCTGCTGGTTTCATTTGTGCAGGATCATTGGGCAACTCAAGAAGTTCGACACAAATGAATTCTTATTCTGACAGTGGATACCAGGAAGCAGGGAGTTTCCATAACAGCCAGAACGTGAGCAAGGCAGATAATAGACAGCAGCATTCATTCATAGCATCAACTAATAACCATTTGGTGAGGAATTCAAGAGCTGAAGGACAAACACTGGTTCAGGTAAGCTAAACACGATCAAGATCTCTATAAAGAAATACTCTTCTGGTTGAATATCTGTTACAGGTATTTCTCACTAAAAATAAAACCAGTATGTACAATTTTTAATTTATTGCATGGATAAAGTAGCCAAATCATTTTCTGTTGTTTGAATTATGATGTGAAGGAAATTTTAGACATGAAGCCTAAAACTGTGTTTCTATTAATTAGCTCCTATTAGTGAGTTCTGATAAATTTCAAGACATAATAAAGTAACTCTTCTAAAAAACACAGGTTTAGCACAGGGAGGGGAGTCCAGGGAAGTGTAAGAGAACTGGATGGAATGTCTTAGTCCCCAAGGGGTTATGAGTTTTTAAAATAATACTAGAACTAAAGTATGCTACAAAAAATCCTAGAGGGCAGTGTACTATTCCCACACTTACATAAAATGGGACTAGCCCGCTCTTATCCAAGCTTTTACTTTCATCACTGAAATTGTTCTCTGAAAGCACATCTCATTTACTACTGTAATTTACTTATTTACTACTGTACTGTATAGAAGTATACAGTACATCCATTCTGTTAAGTTAGGGTTCTCTAATTTGATAGCCAAAAAAATGGTAGTGCATATATATTTATAAAAACAACTTGGCACCTTCCTCGTTGCCACTTTATTCACATCATTCCACCAGCATATGCCAGCATTAAGAGAAGCAGTAGGAGTCCTGCGTGGCAGTAACCAGTGAGGATACCTATCTATCCAAAAACCCCAGTCATTTCTTTGGAGCTGAAAAATATCAAGATGATCAAAGAAGTTAGGCGGACACTATGCCTCTTGTAAATGCAATACAGGAAGCCCTGTAGGCACGTACAACACTGGGCCAGGATACCCGGTGCCAAAGGAGAAACATAATATGACTTTGGCTCAACAATTTAGGAGAAAATTGAAAATAATTTGAAATATTTCTGTATTAAAACAAACACAGATACAGTAAAAGAATTTTTACACTAACGTGAGAAATCTTGTGCTTGTGGCAAGCTCCTTCACTCTGCACCCCCGATCCTCAGATCACACATTTACTCCTTTGCTGTCCGGGATGCTTTGGTGGAAAAGTTGAGGGGCTTGGACCAAATGCCTACCTACAGAAGTCCATCCGATTAGGTGAATTTCTATGTCGGCAGGTCTGAAGTCTCACTTCTGAACAGCAATTACCTTAACTATATACATTTTTTCCCCCTTAATAGTAATCTTGTTGCCTCTTTTTTTTTTTTTTTTAACGTACAGCAAGTTAATTTTGTCCTAGAGCTGAAGAAATTATGTTGCAAGGGGGTCTCTAAGACTTAATTTACATGTAGCCTAGGCAACACATGCTCTAGCTATCTGGACCAAGTGTCATTTCATTTTTGGTAGTTGCCAGTGATATGTGGACTTTTCTTACTATTAACACTATTATCTCCCAACCAGGCGGGATTTTTAACTTTCCAGCTATCTACTAAATTTTAACCCCGTTTTTCTTGTCTCATTGTTTATTTACCATCCTCCTCCCTCCCATCTTCTCCTTTCCACAGCTATTACCTTCCTAAAATTGTTGAACTTGGGCACACTTGAGGTCTCAGAGCAGGTGTTTCAGCCAGCCCAGTTGCTGTGACGCCTGGAGGCAAAGCACACATCCTCTCACAACATCTAAGGGCGTACAAAGTCCTTAGCTGATCCCTTCTTCTCCTCTTACTGCCCTAACTAAAAGTGGCCGGGTGCTGATGGCAGCTGGACTCTAGCAACCAGGAAGGAGATAACAGAGCAACCTGGTCCTGGTCCTGGTCCTGGTCCTGGGCTTGTAACGCAGGGCCCTAAAGTGGTTTTTTGTTTAGTTTTGAGATGAGGTCTCACTGTGTTGACCAGGCTAGATTTGGCCTCAGCCTTCTGAGTATCTGGGACTACAGATGTTTGCCACTGCGCCCAACTCTAACGTCTATTTGTATTTCTCAGCCTGCTTTCCTTTTCCCCATACGTGTCCACCTCGGGCCACTTCTCTGGTTCATCTTTCAATTCTTCTTCATTGTTGGACAGAATCAAGACAGGGATCTGACATCTACTGTTAGCAGGAATCACAGATTTATAGTAGAATCAGCCATGGCAAAAATGTTCCTTTTGCATTCCAGTCCTTTCCAGCTGCTTAGGCCAAGAACCCAACAAAGACTTGGAACACTCTTCCTGCTGGAACAGATTTTTGGGGTGCCTTTATTTGCATCTCTTTAAATTCACGAGCTCATAGATCAGAAGAGGTAAAAAGAAATGGCTGAAGTCTGTAGAAGCCACACTTGATCTCAAGAGACAGATAATTCGGCAAGAGCACCTGTGCAGCCAAGCTGTCCTTGAAGTAAACTTACAGGGACCCAGGCTTGACCCATGAAAGAGTAAAGACAAAACAATTATAAATACTCCTCCAGCTACACTTAGACTGATGTGTTCAAATTTTTTTGTTTGTTTGTTTTACATAAATGCATTACCTTGGCCAAACTTTGACTCACAGGGAATGAAGTAAGTACATTGTTCTAGTGACCCTTCACACTCATGAGTTATTCGTAGCGCTTGGAATAAAACATTTTATGTCTTTTGAAAAATGCATAGGCAAAAGGGTAAAACATGCAGAGACAAAAAAAGGAATATTAAATGTCTTTAGTCTCTTTTTACTGGTTGATTTTAGTGTTCAAATTAAGCCACCCAAAAAAAAAAAAAATGTAAAACAGTAAAGCACCATGAGGAAAAATTAAGGTTTAGCTCTAAAGCATAAAACAGAAAGGAAACTTAAATGCCTAAAGTAAATAGTGAATTCACATTCTGTAGTGAGCTATGTGTTTTGGGTTTTTTGGGTCTTTTTTTATTTGTTTGTTTGTTTGTTTGTATATGTTTTTGGTAATGACAATGAACACAAAACCCTGGATAAACCCATTCTCTTTTTTCCCCCTTTCATCAGCCATCAGTAGCCAATCGGGCCATGAGAAGAGTTAGTTCAGTTCCATCTAGAGCACAGTCTCCTTCTTATGTTATCAGCACAGGCGTGTCTCCTTCACGGGGGTCACTGAGAACTTCTCTGGGTAGTGGATTTGGCTCTCCGTCAGTGACTGACCCCCGCCCTCTGAACCCCAGTGCGTATTCCTCCACCACATTACCTGCTCAGCGGGCAGCCTCTCCCTACTCACAGAGACCCGCCTCCCCGACTTCGATTCGGCGGATTGGGTCTGTCACCTCCCGGCAGACCTCCAATCCCAACGGACCGACCCCTCAGTACCCAACCACCGCCAGAGTGGGGTCCCCGCTGACCCTGACGGATGCACAGACTCGGGTAGCTTCCCCATCCCAAGGCCAGGTGGGGTCGTCGTCCCCCAAGCGCTCAGGGATGACGGCCGTGCCGCAGCACCTGGGACCCTCACTGCAAAGGACTGTTCATGACATGGAGCAATTCGGACAGCAGCAGTATGACATTTACGAGAGGATGGTTCCACCGCGGCCAGACAGCCTGACAGGTGAGTACAAGGTGACCCACCACGCTACATAAAGCCCAGTGAGGAAGCCTTTCATGCCACTGTAGCAGAAACAAAGCATGATAATGTGGGGAAAGCTCATGCTTTTATCTCAAAATTTACATTGGCAACTTCAGGTTAACCCGTCTTTCAGGCTCTGTGATTATTAATGTGTGAAATTATGTACATTTATATCAGCAGAACTCTTTTGCAATGAATACATTTTCCCCCTCAAAATATTAGGGTTTAAAATATACTCTTTTGCATTTTAGATGAAATGGTTGGCATTCTAAGCTATTTATCGATTTTTTTTAATGCAAGATTTTTTACCAGCCAGGCCTACCCTACACATATGTATGTTTTGTTAAAAGGTGGTATCAGAATATCTGTTTAAATACTTAATTTTTTTTCTTGAGAAATGCTTTGGTAGTATAGACTAGAACATGAATTTCACCCCCTACTGCCTTGATTTTGGCATCCCAATGCACATTGAACAAAACTCTTACGAATTACCTTTAAATGCCACTTGGATTAAATCAGAAAGACACCAGATCCCTGATATTATAGCTGTTCCCTTCAGGGTTTTTCATGGAGGGTTCCCCCCCCCCAATGTAAAGACTTTGTACTTTTTAGTAAAATGAAATTTATCTTTAATTAGTGTTTTTAAATTATATTTTAAAAGTAACATACAGAGTAGTAAAAATTAAAACTGTACGGGAAAATATGAAATCAGAAGTGAAAGTCCGAAGGTTCTCTTTTATCCTCACCCGTTCCCATCACCAGTTTATGTATCTTCCGGAATGTTTATTCGCATACGTGAGTAGATACATTACATAAAAGTATGCACACACAGTTTTCTTTTATAGTGATGAGATTCTATCGTGTATCTTCTATACCTTGTTCTTTTCACTTAATATGTCTAAGAACTCTACCTTATTCTTTCTTAATAAATGTATATTACTCCTTTTTATATTAAATACACATATTTAATCATTTTCCTGTTTAAAACATTTAGGTTGTTTGACATTTTTAGCTATTCGATATGATGCAGTATACATTTTTCTTTCTGCATCTTTCACTTATGTACTAGAATAATTATGGGTTCTGTTTCTTAAAGTAAAATTGCTACATCAAAATCCATGCTTATTTTTTTCTTTTTTTTGGAGACAAGGTCTCACTTTGTTGGGATTGGGATGCAATGGTGTCATCATAGCTCACTGCAACTTCAAACTCGTAGGCTCAAGCCTCCTGAGGAGCTAGGACTACAGGCACTTGCCACCACACAGAGCTAATTTTTTTATATTTCATAAAGACGGGGTATCTCTCTTGATCAGGCTGGCCTTGAACTCCAGGCCTCAGGTGATCCTCCTGCCTTGGCCTCCCAAAGTGCTGGGATTACAGGCATGAGCCACTATACTCAACCATATTTGCTTTGAGAGAGATTATTGAATTGCCCCCAAGAAGGTTACACATATTATATTTCTGCTAGCAATTTAAGAGTGTGCCTACACTCTTACCAGGATTGTATCTGCAAGTGTTTCATCTTTATAAAACCTTACTGTTTTAAGTGGCCCTTATTTAGTTATGACTGAGGTTGAAGATTTCATATGCATGTATATTAGGCATTTTATTTCTTTTTTTTAAAACCACAGATTCAGGTCTTTTGTCTATTTTTGTCATTTGTAAAAGCCTTGCATACTTGAGATAAATTATCGTCTGGTAATATACTTCTCAAGTATTTTTTCCATTTTGTCATTTATCTTTTTATTTTGTTTTAGGAGTTTATTAACAATAATTTTTAATATTTTTATATAGTAAAATTAACATTTTTATGGCTTCTTTGGAGATTTTTCTAATTGAATAATTACAATTTTTCTAATTGCACAAAAAAATTATATGGAACTTGATTTCAAGCTCAAAGAAATCCCTAGTGAAGAAACCACCTCCTTTTCATTCACTCATCAGAGGAGTGTGCTTGGCTTAGGTATTTTCTAGAATATATGAAAAGTATGCAGCAAAGTGATGGAGGAATCATGTATGAAATCCTGCCTTCAGAGGAAACCTTAAAAAGTTAATAGTTCTGAGGACTTCTGTATTCTATTCCACCCATGTGTTGGGTAGAACAGCTATGCAGAGTCCTGGGCTTGTAGGAAAATGAAGTGGACACCCAGGGAAGGAAGGCAGCACATAAATTACTGTCTCCATGTTTAGCCCTGAGAGGGCTCATAACCTTTTGTTTAAAAAGCTTGTTTCTCTGACGGTGCAAGTAAGATTAGACTTTATGCTTCAGGAGGTGGGAATATTTTTATAAAGACCTAGCCCTCTCCCTGGCTTTCTATTTTCTAGAAATATTGTGGTCTTCTAAAGAAGCAAAGGGTTTCTTTAAATGGTTCTAGGCAAGCTTTGCTGTAATCCCCCTGCTCATTTATTGGGAAAGTGGGTCCTAATTTGTGAATTCCTTTGTTTTATTTTAACCTTGGAAAATCATGTACCTGTCATTGTATTTGCTATTGTTCTTGATTTCAATGGGTTAATAGCCTGCTAATTGATATATCTAAAGCAATATTTTGTTATATATTCAGGGACTTGGATATTTGGTGATCATAATTTAAATGATGACACAATGTATGTACAAATGTAATTCCTCTCACAAAAAAATATATATATACTCTAAAGTACTCATTTCAGTATAATTATAGAATGTCAAGAAAAGTTTTGATTAGATAAAGAATCAATGTTTGAAAGATAAATTTATTTCTAATGTCTTAAATATAAAGGTTTTGAATCACATGGAATATATCACTGTAATAGGCATACTATTAATAATATGTATTTGTGGAATTACAAATAGAAATTATTGGTTGGGTAAATAATATTGTGGAGTATCAGTGTGTTCCATTATCTGGAGGGATAGGTAAAGTTATTAAAAATTAATCTGTGGAAATGCTTTCTGGAAAAATTATTTCTAATACCAATTATGGAGCATTATTACTTATATTCCAATTTCAATGATAATTAAGTTATAGTGGGGTTTCTACACAAATGCTAATCTAATGCTAATCTATAGGACTTTGTGCATGTGTTCTTTTAAAGGCAAGAGCAGGTAAACAAAAACTAACAGTCATTGTTATATTATTCAAAGTGATTTGTAATAACAAGAAAGTGCTACATTACACTACGGTTCTAAGCCTTTTATTTCCCATTACAGCATGTCACATGTAATAATTTTATAATTCCATAATAAGTTAGTATCTGCTGGTTACTTTTCATAGTTTTAAATGGTAAGGAGCTCACTTTGTTACCTTGAAATCATAGTCAGTGTTTATAACAGTTCTCATGTTGCATGAATTCCAGTGAAGAGTCCAGCCAGATCCTCATAGAGTAAGAATATAACATTCTGGTAGTGGTGAGGAATGCTTTGTCTTATTTCACATCACGGTGGGATGGTGGGAGCAGAGCAGCATGGCCGGATGTCGGGCTGGCCTTTGCCCAAGCGTGAATGATCTTCAGAGTCTTTCACTGAGTCGAGAGTGTTTTTTACTCTACTAAGTGTGACACCAGCACTTCGTATTGACTAGGTACCTTTTCACCTGCCCGCCTTATGTCACTGCAAAAAAAAAAACAAACAGTGCTTATACTTTTGTTCAAGATACTCATGGGGTCCATAAAGAGATAGAGCCTAGACTCTTCTATTAAAAAAATGAGAAATCTGCCAGTGAATAAAAGGTGAAATCCTCAAGAGAGAATTTTACAATAGCAATCATAGTACCATCTTTAGAGATAAGTTGGCTTGCATAGACCCTTCCCTGGTGGGCTAACTTGATGTTTGTGGAGTGCCCAGAGTTTGATTTCTCACATCACATGTCATTGATTCTTGAGGTATAGCTGTGTTCATTGTTGAGTGAGGAATGACAGAGGACTGACTTGTGGTCTCCTCTCAGCCCTACCAGGAAGTAGCTCTCTGATGGGGCTGAATCATGTTTTCTTTTGGGTTCTCAGTTTCCTTGGTTTTGAAATGAGAAAGTTTGTCTGGATTATCTCCCAGTTATAAGATTGTATAAACCTGAGATCTTCATTTTAGCAAGCGGGGACCCAGTAACTGAAACTCATGTTGGTTCATTTGGTTTCTTTGCCTGTCGCATAGCTGTCCAGGGTAGGTAATAATCATTCACTTTAGAAGCTTTATGTATTTATTAACTTTCTTGCCACTCCTCACTGAACAACATATGGTTATCACTCATATGCAAGCCCATTTGCATTTAGCTGTGATTTGATAAACTGAGCTAACAGGATGGCTACAATCCTATCTTTTTATAATTAGTTACTGTGTTAATTAATTGCTATTTTTTATAAAGCAAATACCTGCTAACTGACTTGATATGTTTGTGCTTTCTCTTGCTCGTATTTGGAATGTAACTTTAGTTGGTGTTCTTACCAAGTGACAAATTTTACTTACTAATGATGAAAAATCACAAACTTTGAGCATCTACCTTTTTATCATGAAAGTCCCATGTGTGTAATTTGCATAAAAATATTTTAAATATTTTAATGTTCATGTCCTACTAACTTTGTACTTTTCCTTTATACTAGAAAGAAAGTCAAGAATCTGGTATGTGAGTTCCTATAAAAAAAAAATCAGTTTTTGGTTTTGATTCTTTTTTTTTAAAAAAAGGGAAATACACAATAAATAGTAAAATTGTATTTCATATAATATTTAATACGTGTTATTAATTCACTGCTAATATCCCAAATTTTGTAGTATAAAATTTTCAGTGTTTTCCCTTGAAAATTATGTGTGAACTAATAGAGAGATGTATTTCCAAACCACTCTTGAACATTAGCCTTTACCAAGTACATTTTGTAGGCGTCGTCTTAGGTGTTGGGATTTAAAGAGGCATGAGATGGTGGGCGCTCCCTGCGGAGACCTGATGGTCCCTTAGTATAACTGGTAGGTCTGGACGGCAAGGAGAGAATGGTGTGAACCATACAATGATAGAAAATATTTGGTCACCATCATAAAATAGCTTACAATTGGGAATGAATTTCAGTGTTTCAAACCATTTAATAATATGTTGTTATTTTTGCTGGAAAATTTATCTTGCTGGCAACAGAAAGTTGTATTTCAAAAATGTATATGGAGTCCTTTTCACACCTGGCATCCCTCTTTTGTAAAACTTTTACTGGTTTTGGTGTTTAGACTTAACGCGTGGTGCTGTTGGCTAGGATTTTAATTAGGGTTGATGTTTTTAATCTCACCATGATTTTCTCAGTTCATAGTGATGTCATTTTCCTGCCTCTAGGCTTACGGAGTTCCTATGCCAGTCAGCACAGCCAGCTCGGGCAAGACCTTCGTTCAACTGTGTCTCCGGACTTGCACATCACGCCTATTTATGAGGGGAGGACCTATTACAGCCCGGTGTACCGCAGCCCGAACCACGGAACTGTGGAGCTCCAGGGCTCGCAGACGGCGTTGTATCGCACAGGCTCAGGTGTGCATAGGCTCTACTTAGCCGATTTCCCTATTTCACAGGCCTGATGGTGGAAACGTTTTGTTGAGAATTGGGTTCCCCATTAGAAAGAAATCATGTTGCTGATTTTGTTGTCAGATAAGCAGCTTGACAGCAGATCAATAAGCAGTAAAGCAGAAGTTCATTTAGCACCTATTTATAGGTAATATATTTTTACCTTAGCACAACCTAATCAATGAACATAGTGATTGCACTGTTAATTCAGGAATAAGTTTGTAGAACTGTAAATCTAACTCTCCTCTGGTTTGAAGCATATTCGATATAGAAAGGAAAGCCTTTGTGGGGAAATTTCTTTGTAATTTTTGTTGCTGAACAAGTTTTTGGAGGAAATCCATACATGAGTCACTTGGCTGTCATTGATTTAGCTTGTCTGGATCCCAAGTGTATTTGGCATTACCCTTTCTTAGGTGTTGGACTTCCTCTGAATACTTAAACGTGGAATGTGAAATAGATATCCCTTGTGATGGACTCAAACTGGGACAGGCTGCAGTAGCGTCATTTATAAAACAGGGAGCTGGGGCATCACCCCTTGTTCCCACAACTCTCACGTTTATGCCACACCATAACAATGGAGAACAGAGGCTGCAGCCCACAGGGCCGTGAGCTGCCAGGTCATGCCTCGGGGCTGGCTCGTGGAAGAAGCAGCTTCTTTTTTTAAAATAAAGAAGTATTACAGATTTATTAAGATGCCTACAAATGAACTCCAGATAGCACAGATAACCTCTCAAAGACACAGCTCTAGGAGATACACTTCCCAGAGCACCAGGAGGGTGAAGGCTCTATTTGAATGGGTTCTTTGCCAGAAACTGATAGTTTGGTTTATCGAGGGATTTTGTTTTCTAATAGAGTGCACCAAATTTTACATTAATGAAGAAGTATTTCACTTGTTCTTATGTCTGTAAACTGAGGAATTTCTTTAATAGGATTAAGAAATAGAGAATGTTAAAATCTTTATAAATCTTTATAAATGCATGAAGAATATGTATACAGTCATTGGAGAGATAACTGCTGCTATAATTAGTAGAGGAATGTTAAATACAGTGTATAGTACCTTTATATGTATTATCATGCAGTAATTTATGGGAGTAGCTATAGAACAGTTTGATATATTAATCTTCTTTCTCTTCTTGTGAAGTAGATTACCCAATGTTATCAAGATCCACAGGTCTAGAAATACGATATATAGTAGTGTTTGTTTATCTGTGGGGGATATGTTCCAAGACCCCAGCTGATGACTGAAACCACAGATAGTACCGAGCCCTTATATGTACTATGCTTTTTCCTATATATTCATACCTGGGATAAAGTTTAATTTAAAAATTAGGCACAGTAAAAGAGCAACAACAATAACTGATAATGAAATAGAACAATTAAGTAAAATAAAGTTACTTCAAAACAAGCACTGTGATACCATGACAGTCAGTCTGGTGGCCAACATGGCTACGGTGTGACTAACAGGTGAATAGATCTACGGTGTGGATGTGCTAGACAGAGGGATGATTCATACCCAGTAGGAATGGAGCTGTATGCGCCAGATTTCACCATCCTCCTCAGGACAGTGTGCAGTCTAAAACTTATGGATTGCTTATTTCTGAAATTTTCCATTTGATGTTTTTGGACCATGGTTGACCATGGGTAACTGAAACCATGGAAAGCAAAACCCCAAATAAGAGAGGACTACTGTATAGCAAAATAAGTAACCTGTGTACACTAAGTTTTAAAATTTTGATGGTTTCAGTTATTTATAAATTTGAATAAATATTTTGTTTTTATCACTAAAATGAAATTATGAATTTTTTCTATTTTATTATTTATCTCTAAAATTGGTTTAATTCTTTTCTTATATTTCTCTTGGAGTTTTAAGTTATGAATCTTAATGAACATATTAAGACCTATTATATAAGCAGATTTACAATTTTATTTTTATTCTTTCTTGCTAATGAAACTGACGAAATATTATTTGTGTATATTAAAAACTTAGGTACCATTTTTTTTTAGTGCTAATGAGCTAGATTCGAAAAATCTAAAAGTAAGCTATTTGTATAATTGCCAAAAACTGTATTCCTTAAAGTTAAAAATATTTTACCTTTTAAAAGAGAGTGATCTCATGGAGAGCATACTAATCTTTTCCAAAATGTTGACTTTCTAATAGGTATTGGAAATCTACAAAGAACGTCCAGCCAACGAAGTACCCTTACATACCAAAGAAATAATTATGCTCTGAACACAACAGCTACCTACGCGGAGCCCTATAGGCCAATACAGTACCGAGTTCAGGAGTGCAATTATAACAGGCTTCAGCACGCAGCCCCAGCTGATGATGGCACCACAAGATCTCCATCGATAGACAGCATTCAAAAAGACCCCAGGCACGTACCAGTTAGGAGTCTCCAAACATTTCCTCCATTCTGACTTTTTTTTTAATTGCCAAGTCTTTTACAATCTCAGTAATTGCTTATCTCTTAACCCTTCCAGATGTATTCTAACTATGTGGATCATTGAGGTTAATTTCACTTTAAAGATAGATTTCTTCTTTCCTTGCTTTAATAACAAATTAGAGAATGCACAGATCTATGGGAATATTCATAGCATTCACCATTGAAATACTTCACCAAGGCAACTACCTGGGATAGCGTCTTAGCCAGAATTGAACAGAAGACTTTGAAGGATCATTTTACCCCTTTTCTTTTATCCTGACTGACTTCTTGGATGAAAGCATCCAAAAATTCGTATTATTGCTCTGAAGTGGGAAAGAGCAGTGTTGTATACATTTTGGATTATTGGTCAACACGACATAGAGCTTTTAACTAGGTATTTTGAAAAGCTTTCTGGCATTTAGGAGAAAATGGTTTACAAGAAATTCTCATATCTCATAAGCAAAGAAATATTTGGCAAATGGTAGATGTTTCCTCTTTCTAATATTGTTTGGTCCTGCAGACAACATTTTTTATTAAGATAAGTGTAAGTCATTTAATACTTGATTGATTTTGAAAAATTAGCTTTGTCTTTAATGAAAGTCATTTAGAATATTCGGGAAATAAGGATACTTTGAAACTAAAAGAATTTTTATTTTTAGTTTTATTTTGAAAGAGTGAAATTGTTGCTAAATTTTAAGCAGCTGTAGTGTTATTTTAAGGCATGTATGCAAGATTTCATTCACTCTTCGCCCACAAATAGTTGCTTCACTGGAAAATTGTTATGATTATTAATTCATTTTTAGCCACCTACCAACTTATTCTAATGAATGTGAATTAAAATGATAAGTGAGGGTTTGGTCTTTAAAACAAAATAACTAAAAGTACTTTACAGTTGAACGGAAAATCTGCTACTTCACTAAAACCACTTTACCTATTCATTTTTATGCCTGAAATTCTTTAAAGTTGGTACACATATTAAAATTTGGTTCTGTTATTCCTGGTTTACCATCTTTTTCCTTTTAAGGGTTTTTAAAAATAATTTATTTAATAGCACCTCCAATATAATTGTCAAGAATATTCTTACTGATTTTGTTTTTTTAAATCCTCAAAAATGACAAAAGAATCGGGCACCCAAATCGTTGCAGAAATTCTCAAAAGGGTTTTGATTTGTAGGTAATTGTGACCATACCTTGGCTAGGCCTGCAGAGAAAATAATAGCTACCTAGGAAAAGCAAGGAGATATTATTAGAGCTTTGAGTTTAACATGTGTCTCTGAAGACTTCAGTTTTGACCTCGAAGTTGATTTACTATAAACAGGGATTTCATGTATGATAATATATTTCAGCTATTTATAGTATGATAATTTCATAGTCTAATGCATAAAACTGTTATGGCTAGCTTTGATTATGTGGAACTTTACTGATAATGCATTTCATAAGATGAATAAATGATTACCTTATCATGGTACCTGCATTTATCCTACCTGAAAACACAATTCAGGTGAATTTGAAACTTGGAAATTTGAAATTTCCAATTCAAGTTTCCATCTCAACTCATTTCCCTTTAGCCTAAAGAATTTCCTTTTGCCTTTCTTGTGTTGAATGTCTGCTTGCAACAAATTCTCTCAGCTTCAGTTTATTTGAAAATTTTTTTCCAATGTACTTATTTCCTTTTTTTTTAATGTCAGAATATTGTGGGGGCATAAACATTTTGGTTAATATATCACCTTTGCAATCTGAAAATATTTTTATTTCATTTTTTAAAGGATGTTTTTGCTAGATATAAAATTCAGAAATTACAGGTGTGGATTTTGTTTTCTTTCAGTACTTTAAAAGGTGTCATTCATTATCTTTAGACCTCTGTTGTTTCTAATGAGAAATTAAACATCATTTGTATCCTTCTTGTTACGTACTATATCTTCTGTCTGCTTTTCTGTTTTCTCTAGCTTTTAGCAATTGTACTCTGATGGGCATAAATGTTGTTTTCTTAGCATTTAACGTGTTTGGGGTTCACTGAGAGTAATGGTATGTCAGTTGATTTTCAGTCTCTTTTTTTTTTTTTTGAGACAAAGTCTCGCTTTATTGCCGAGGCTAGAGTGAGTGCTGTGGCGTCAGCCTAGCTCACAGCAACCTCAAACTCCTGGGCTCAAGCTATCCTACTACCTCAGCCTCCCTAGTAGCTGGGACTACAGGCATGCGCCACCATGCTCGGCTGATTTTTTCTACATATATTAGTTGGCCAATTAATTTTTTTCTATTTATAGTAGAGACTGGGTCTCGCTCTTGCTCAGGCTGGTTTCAAACTCCTGACCTTGAGCGATCCACCCGCCTCAGCCTCCCAGAGTGCTAGGATTACAGGTGTGAGCCTCCGTGCCCGGCCTATTTTCAGTCATTATTTCCTTAAATTTTTTTTCTGCCCTAAACTCTCTTCTTCTTATGGGACTCCAATTAAACATATTAGATAACTTTATTTCAAAGATTACTGAAGCTCTGTTCATTTTTTTTAAGTCTTTTTTTTCCCATGTTCTTCTAATTAGATATTTTTTATCAAAGTCTTCAAATTTAGTGTTCTTTGTCCTATAGACTCCACTCTATTGGTAAACTCATCCAAATATAATTTCTTATTTCAAATATTTGAATTTGAAAGAAGAATTTTTGATAGTTTCACTGTCTCTGATGAGATCTCCCCATCTATTCATTCTTAGATACATCTTTTTCTATAAGTCTTTGAACACATTTATAATAACCATTTTAAATTACTTCTGATAATACCAATATCTGAGTCGTCTCAGGGTCTGTTTCTATTGGCTGCTTTTTTACATCTTTGTAAGTCATATGTTTTTCTCATGTCTAGTCATTTAAAATTCTCTGATGACTGTTGTAGATGACACATCACAGGGAATCTGGGTTGCGTTGTATCCTGTTAGGGTGCTGCATTCTGTTGTGGTAGGTGACTAAATTACTGGCAGATCCTTTCCATCCTGTCCAGATGTGTTCTCTTCTTTGTTAGGTCTATTTCAGATTGGTTTTAGCCCTAGAACGTGGTCCTTACTCCTAAGACACAGCCTTTGTGGAGTCTTGACTAAATTCCCAAGGTGCACAGAAAGGTCTGCACTCTGTCTGGCCTGGGATTCCAGCATCACCTGGGACCTGTTAGCTCTCGGTCACGCAGAAGCCACACTCTACCTGACCTGCACGTGTGCCTGCAGACACGCAGCCCAGTGTTCAGCTAAGAACCGTGTGCGGTCCACACACAAACCTGTAGCATCACCTCTGCACAGCCTCCTTGTCTCCCTGCTCTACACATGCTAACCACTGTGTCATCCCCAAATTCCATTATCTCCCCCATCAGTTCACTAAGTCTGTCATGTAGTACTTGGGCTCAGCTTCCTGTATCATGGTCCAGAAGGTGCCCCTAGGTAGAAAACCAAGTGAATATGGGACTCCTTGGGTGTTTCCCTCCTCTCAGGAATTACATTCTTGTGTTGCCAGTTTTCCAGGGCCTAAAAACAGTTTCCTTATACATTTAATTCAGTTTTATAGTTGTTTATGGTGGGAAGACAAAATCCAGTACCAGTTATTCTGGCATGGCTGGAAACAGAAGTCTGGGCTTAGGTTTTAATGAAGCACCTCCTGGCAGGCATTGAAGCCATCCAGCCAGCCCACAAATTGATAGCAGTTTTCCAGGGTAAATTTCTGCTGAACTTGAATCAGAGTTGGCGCTGGAGCCAAGCTAGCCTAATTGCCCAGCTCAGCTGGAGCCCACGCTCTCTGTTACCTGGCCCTCCCGGCACCCAGGGATGTCAGGAAATCTTGACCATCACCGTGCCATTTAAAGAGGACAAAAATGTGTATTTGTCATGATTGTGAGTCATCAAAGAAAGATTAAATCCCACTCCTTGCACTCTGTTAATTACAACACAGATTTGCATAACAGGCTTTAGACAGATTTTCATCAGAAATGGTGAACACAGCTTCAGTGCATAAAAGGAAAACTATTTGCTACAGAGAATGCCTCTGTTTAGAATAGCTCATTTCTTAGGGATGATGAAGATTAATAAAACATCTGTATCATTAAAGTATATAAAGTATTTTAATACACATCATCACATTTAATTATCACAGCCAACCTATAAAAAAGATAGAAATGAAAGTTTTATTGTTCCTGTTTTGCAGATGGGGAAACTGCATCTCCAAATAATTAACTGGTTTTCAAAATCACATAGTAATCAAAGGACCTGAAACTTAAACCCAGTCAGACTAACTCTAAATCCTGTGCTTTCTCTGCTGTGTTATCCCACATCTCTTGGCATTTGCTATATTCTTAATGTCTGTTAATGGTGTTATCATCCAGCCCCTCCCCCAAGCCAGAGTTTCCATCTCAACCCTGACTTCAGGTTTTAGGTCTTCTGGCAGCTGTGTGAAGAATGGATTAGGGAGGGGGCGATATTTGAAGCAGTGAGAACATAGAGGAGACTGTTACAGTGGTCCAGGCAAGATGGAGAAAACGGATGGATTTGATACATATTATTAATGAATATTTTGGAGATAGTCGACAGAACTTACTGATGAATTAGATGAAGAAGATAAGGGGAAGAGAGAAATCAAAGATGGCTCTATTTTGTTTTGAATAACTGTGTGGATTCTTATGTGGGTAGTGGTTAGTCTCCTTGCCACCGGTCTATTCTGATTCCAGTACATTCTCTACTTGGCCACCAGAGTTATCTTCTCTGTTGCATGCTCTCACTCTCCTGCTTCAAAACCTCCATCAGCTTTCTGTTCCTTATGTGTGGGGGCACACATAGACCAGCTGGGTTTCACTGACTTCCACCACTCAGTTACTAATCCTGAGTTCCTTCTCTATCTAATGTCATTTAATAGTGCTTACCTCATGGACAGCAGTAAAGCTAAATGAGATAATGAATGTAAAGCTCTTCACATAATGCCTAATGCAGAAAAACTCAATAAATGATAACTTGCATTAATGGGATTAAGATTAAACTTTTTAAGCTGAGTGCAGTGGCTCATGCCTGTTATCCTAGCATTCTGGGAGGCTGAGGCAGGAGGATCACTCAAGGTCAGGAGTTCAAGACCAGCCTGAGCTCTTTAAAAAAAAAGGAAAAAAATCTGACAATTTGATGTTATTGATGTTACCTGAAAAAAGCAAATTATAGAAGAAGTGTGTGTGTGTGTGTGTGTGTGTGTGTGTGTGTGTAGTATGATTATGTACTCATTTTACAAAAAAATGATATAGCATAGTGGTTGAGGGTACAGACTCTGAAGACAGACTGCCTGGGCCCAGATGTTGCTCTGCTGTATCCTAGCTGTGTGACCAGTTATTAAGCCTTTCTGCCTCGGCTTCCAAATCAATAAAGTTGCTGTGAAAATAAAATGAATTTATACATGCACCTAGCATAGTGCCTAACACAGAATACATGTTTGTGAACCATCAAATGCTATTTGATAATAGTCCAGTTTTATGAGAAAAAATTCTACACCTGCAAATATGTATGCATGTTTGTACACATATATATATTAAAACTAGGAAATATCAAAAATTGTTTTCTCTGGATATAAGATTACTGGTAAAACATTTTTCCTTTTTCAAAATGTTCTGTGTTTCAGCCTTATCATCAAGAACAACCCTAAATGTTGTTTCTTAAGAGTCCCCAGGCCCGCAATATTTGTGATTTCTAGGCTGACACCAGCTCTGTCCCACCATCCCTTCCTCTCTCCTCAGGCATGACATCTCACTTAGCTGAAGAGCACTTGTTTACTTTTGCCTTGTACCTGCAGATTTCTTACATAGGTAGGAAGACAAAACTAGAATCAGGAGGAAGAACACTAGAGTGGAAAGTTCCTCATGTTAAGAATTTCCTTTGTTCCTTGAATCTTGTTCTCTGCATCTGTGCATCATGGTTTCTTTTAAGATCATAAGCATCTGGGCCTCTGCATATGTTCATCAGGGGAAAAAATATCCACATGTATATATTTTTATAGCTTTCAGTTTTTGTCTGAGCTGAGTTTTTTTCCTCATAACAACTGTTTTGTTCGGTGTATTAGCACAACATGGGCCCTCCTCTCTGAAGCCACGTCTTTCTTACGTAGGGAGTTTGCCTGGCGTGATCCCGAGTTACCTGAAGTCATTCACATGCTGCAGCACCAGTTCCCGTCCGTGCAGGCGAATGCGGCAGCCTACCTGCAGCACCTGTGCTTCGGCGACAACAAAGTGAAGATGGAGGTACAGGACACAGTGCCTGGATTCGGGCAAGATAGTAGTGCCTTTGCATTTAGCATCAACATGCTTGCGTATTTGAGAAATTACCAGATGTCATTCAGTGGCCTTTTTAAAGGGATATTTTGATACCAATACTCTTTGCTTCTTAGCTATGAATTTCAGTATCTGTCAGGAAAAACCGGGAGGAGTGTATTTCTTGGAGTGCCTTCAGCATTTCCAAATCCCACATCTACTTCATTAGCTTATTTATAAAACATGAAGCAAAAATCCATTTAACCTGAATTTTAAAAATATTTTCAAAAAATCTATTAGGTAAAAATTGTAATAGTATTCATGGAACTCACAAGCTAATGTGCTTTATGAGGTTCTGGTCAAGATTGATGGCAACCACAATTAAGTGAAGTCACAGAGGATTTATAACCATCACTAACACTGAACACATGAATATTTTATTTCAGATTTTAAAGATTTGGGGTATTTATAGAAACATAGCAAGTTATTGGTTATCGGTGAGGGTTCTGTAATATACAGATTCTTTTAATGTTTTAGGCATTTTTCCTCCCTGCAATATTGTATAGAACAGAAATATTTTTCATCAGTTAATATGCAAAACAACATACCAGCTCCAGACCTAAAAGTGGATGTAATAAATAAAGCTCAGAAATAGTCAAATAATGTTCTAATGAATTCACAAATGGAAGAAAATTTAAGGAGTAGCCTAGAGAACTAATTCTAGAAACTAAATGACTTCAGTTAAAAGTTCTTTCCTGTATTGTCTCCAAGCCTGCGTATAGCTTTGTTGTGTTTGTGCATTTGCACATAGCACTCCTGGAGTGAAAGCACACTTCCCTGTGTGTGTTCAGAGGGTTGGAGGAGGACTATGCTGCCTGCATATGGACAGGAAGGGAGTTTCATCTTGGAGAGTGTTCTCAGAATTTATAAAAGATGTGTTATATAGAATAAACAGTAGCCTTTAAAATGATCTGGAGGTACCCACATCCCATGACCTCTCCATAAAGATTTTGTATGATCACTGATTGATTAATCATCACCTGTCACTTAGGCCTGGTACCTAATATTTTTCATTCTAGGTGTGTAGGTTAGGGGGAATCAAGCATCTGGTTGACCTTTTGGACCACAGAGTTTTGGAAGTGCAGAAGAATGCTTGTGGTGCCCTTCGAAACCTTGTTTTTGGCAAGTCTACAGATGAAAATAAAATAGCAATGAAGAATGTTGGTGGGATACCTGCCTTGTTGCGACTCTTGAGAAAATCTATTGATGCAGAAGTAAGGGAGCTTGTTACAGGTAGGTATAGAATGTGATCTTGTCCTAGAGGAAATGTTGAAAACAATCTAGACTATGACCTTGTATAGCGGCATTATGGAAGAGTTAGAGGTTCTAGGTAGTAGATGGTGATATATAGATAGTGTTCACAACTGTGAAGGCTGAGTATAATTTAGTCTAATGATTCAGAAACCGTTTGCAGTGCTGTAGGGTCAACTCTATTAGTATCAGTTATTGTACTTATTAATGCCTAAGTGTCAGCTAACAGATGTCTTGGTCATGGAGGACTGAATACGTCGTTTTTTATTATGTATTCCATACTAATTCTACTTGTTTTAAATACACTGGCTCTCTTTATTATGAAAATAAAATATACTTAATAGATTGGCTGCCTTCCACTTCAGTTCAGCCAGTGTCTGAGTGCCTGTTTCTGTTCCCAGGCACTTTGCTAAGTTTCAGGGATTTAAAGATGAATAAAAGCCAGTCTCTGCCTTTAAGTAGCACTCAGACTGGGGAGGAACACTGTGGTTCTGTGAATGTCAGGGAAATGTGGCCAACTCACTCAGTATATGTTGTATTGGGAGCACAAAGAATGGGTAGGGAAGTTCCTGGATAATACAAAACCAAAGCTGACCTAAAGGCTGAGGAGGCATTGGCAGGGAAACAGAGGAGGTCCTTCCAGTCGCAAGCTCAGCCAGCATGGGATCTGGCATCAGAGCTACAGGCAAGAGGGGACTGCTGTGTCATTAGGGAAGCAAGGGTGGAGAGAGATACAGGCTTGGTTTAGGGAACTTTACAAGGAACTTAGTGGCCCACATGCAGTGGGGACACTGGGGTGTGGCATGGCCAGTTTGGGATTTTAAATGCGTTCTTCCAGCAGGCAGCAAGGTAGAGAGGATGATTTGAGGGGACAAACCTGGGAGGCCTATGAAGAAGTCAACAGTCCAGCAATAACAGCTGGAGCTGTTTCAATGATAGAAACGGGGTGTGGAAAAGAGGGAACTGTTAGAGGAATATTCCATGGTCTGGGCATGACGGTCAGATGTGGGGAGTGAGAGGCAGGGAGGAGCGCGTGGTACCTTGATGGTGCAGTCAGCTCAAGAGTACTTGTTGAGACGGAAGAATGACTCTGCAGATGGAAGACAGATGACTGACAGCATTTCCTCTAACAGAGAATTTGGGAAAAATACTAAGGATTCATTGGCAGAAGAATGGTTAAATAAATTGCAGTATTCACATGGTGAAACCACACAGGTGTTAAAATTAGCCCATTAGCCATTTACCTGTAGTCCCAGCCAAGGCAGGAGGACCAGCCTGGGCAACATTGTGACAGCCCATCTCTAAAAAATAATCTTTTTAAAAATTAATAAATAAGCACATTAGAGCTATATATAGTAACATTAGATAAATCTTGAGAAGCATTAGCAGAATAACTACAGCATGATACTGTTTGTTTAAAAATTGTAAATATATATGTAGATTGAGACTAAATTATTTTTGGATATATACACATGGAATAAAGTTAAAATTTCTAATTGGAATGATAAAATAGATTCAGGATAATGGTTACCTCTGAGAAGGAGGGAAGAAAATGGGACTGGGGAATGTATTCTAGCTCCATTTCTTTAGAGAAATCTGAGACAAATAAGATGAAATGTTAATATTCGACAAAGCTAGATGGTGGATACCTGTGTTTTTGTTTTATGTTTTCTAGACGGTTTTTCATACTTTAGATATTTAATTTAAAAAATTTTTAACAGCATTTCTTCAAAATTAATCCCATTCCCCATTTGCTTCCTTTATTAAATCAGAGTTGTAGGTTCTGTCAGGTATAATTCAGTAACACTTGGGAATGTAGCAAACCATCATATATCCAATATTTAAGAAGAATCAACTTTCTCATAAGATATTAATGTTCAAAATACAACATTAATATTCCCCTTACTCCAAATAAGGTATGAAATTTGCATACTAGAAGTAGAATACACTTTACGTGTCATCTTAAACTCTGGAATGGGCTGCCTGCCTTAATGTGTTTTGAACTCGCCTTAACACTTCCAAATTACATATTGATTTATTAGTATATACTTCCACTTTGTAAAACGCTTTTGAGGCATCTCACCCTCTCACACCAAATAATAAATTATTTACACATATGTGTGTGTAGATACATAAAATGAAAAGTAGAACAAGCTAAGTAGAAAAATAGGAGCCAGAGTTATTTGCAGTACATGTGAGCTTTCTGTCCTTGTTTGATGTTTCTCCTCCCATCAGTTTGAACTTACTGCATTGTGTTCAAGTATCTTCTCACAGTAACACACCTGTGAAGCCAGCAAGGCTGGAGAATGACATGTGTACCACTCCCTGAGGGATCGGTGGTGATCCAGGGACAACTGCCATTAGTAGAACTGCCATTAGTAGAACGCTTCTACTCACATTTGGCTGTCTTTTGGTTAACTAGCCAGATTTATCATGGCTTGGTCCTTACATCCTTTTTTTGTTGTTATTTGTTTTGTTTTTTTGGTTTTTTTGAAACAGAGTCTCACTCTGTTGCCCAGGCTAGAGTCAGCCTAGCTCACAGCAATCTCAAACTCCTAGGCTTGAGCGATCCTCCTGCCTCAGCCTCCCGAGTAGCCAGGTCTACAGGCATGTGCCACCATGCATGCCACCATGCACGGCTAATTTTTCTATATATTTTTAGTTGGCCAATTAATTTCTTTCTATTTTTAGTAGAGGACAGGATCTCGCTCTTGCTCAGGCTGGTTTTGAACTCCTGACCTTGAGTGATCCTCCCGCCTCCGCCTTCCAGAATGCTAGGATTACAGGCATGAGCCACCAAGCCCTGCCTATCCTTACACCCTTACTGTACTTTAATTCTATTCTGTCATGATTTTTCACAGGAGAAAAAGTCTTTTCTGAATTTTTGTTTCTTGAGTTTTTTTTCTTTGGGAGAGACTGTTACAGTGCCTTTCCTGAGCTGAAGTCAAGAAATTTGTAAGATTTAGTGATAAGAAGAAAAGTACATGAAAGTTTGATTTTTTTTTTTTTTTTTACATTTAAAAATAAATCAGATTTATTTGAAGTAGAGGCAGACTTTACTACCAAGGGTTTTTATGTGGTAATTTACCTCGGGCGCACTCTGGAATTGAGTGTTAATTTAGATGCCACCTTCCATGTTTTATTTCTGTTTAGGCGCAATACTAGCTTTTGAGAACACAAGATGTTTTAAGGCATGGGCCCTGACCTTGAAGAGAGGACATGGTTGTTTTCTAATTCAAAAAGAGCTGTTTTCCTATTAGATGATGTCATTTCCAATGTAAAACTAGGAATAACTTCTCATATTTCTGTTTTGGAAAAATCTGCCAGCAGCTTGTAGGCTTTAAGAAGCATTTTTGGTCATACTTGTATAGAGTAGGGGAAATTAAGAATTGCTCTGTAGCTATATACTTTTACCACTAATAGTTTATCTTGATATGTGGAGCAATTGCTTATGAGATTTTTCTCCCAAACGTTGGAATCAGAGAGGCTAGTGTGTAAACACTTATTCTGATTACTGTATGTAAAGGAGTTGGGCCAGAGGACTTCAGAAGTGAGTTTCTAATTCCAAAGGCGAAATGTCAGCCTGGGTTTGATTTATATGTCAACATTGTCTGGCTAATATGAAACTACCAAGTCACGATATAAATCTGGCATAGTTGCTTCTCCGTGTATGTGTGTGTACATATATTTATAGTCCAAGATTTATGGAGATAACAGAATTATTCACATTTCTCAGTCCTACAACTTAGTGGTACTAACCTTAACTGACATTCGTAACATTTTAAGAGTGACTGATCCTTGATATGTTTTAAAGCCTGAAAACATCAAGAGATGCTTAAGTTCCTTTTTCATTAACTCTTCCTCCAGTCATAAGCTGTCTTTAAATTGTAGAATGATAGGGTTGGGGGACCTCAAAATTCATTTTGTCCAATCAGTCATCCAACACATGAATCCCCTGTAATAGCCTCCACGCTCATTGTGTGCTTGAACTCATTACTTATTACTTCTCATTAAGGCTGAGCAGCAGAGTTGTCTAAAAAGCAGCAAGATGATGTAACTTGAGAAGGCAAGAAACACAAACCCTCAGGAGCTCACTTTGCCTAGGAATGGCCCTACAAGAAGACCAGTTGAACCCTAGATCCAGCCACCAGGACCCCTCCTAACCAGGAAAGCACATATCCCTGAACCATCCTTGTTAAAGCATGTCTGCTGCAGACAAAACAGGGGGCTATGTGACCTTTGCACCCAGTATCCCCATCAGCTGCCCATCTCTTAAGATCCCCTTGGAAAGCAGAGCATTGTCCTTCCACATCTCAGCTTTCTGCCAGCGTTATCCACAAATACCAGGGCCCTGGCCAACCTCTCACGACACTTGGCCTTCGTAGCTATGGTCTAAGTGTTCTTAAGTGAAAATTATAGTCAACTTAGGAATGTTAAAGCACAATGAACTGTAGTGTTCAAAATATTATATAATTTGAAGAAATTACTATCCCCTTGAAACTAGGTATTCTTTTATTCATAATATTAAGTAATTCAACCCAGTTATTAATCCAAAGTCTTTTTTTCTAATCCGCTTTGTTTCAGTTTGGCAATTTTTACTTAAGCACAGCAATTTTAGCTATTAATATTTGAAAAAAATATGTCTTGCCTCTGATTTAAATGTAATAACTTTCCAAGGCCTGTAATTTTGGCCACTTCTTTATTTTCAGAGGGGGGAAAAAAAGTACTTTTGGCAAGTGTATTTTCCCAGGACAGTATGGCTGTCATTGTTAATTAAAATGTTCCTCTAATATGTAACATGATTCTTGTGTTTTCTTCATTGTGTTGAACATTTTCCAGGTTGAAACGTAATGAGCTTTTCTCTTTTTTTGTAATTACTGATATATGTGGGTGCTTAGAGTAAATTTTTTTTATTCCAAAGGTACTTTTTGTCGTTATTGTGATTAAAGTTGAAAGCTGAACGAAGTATAGTTGTTCCCCAG